GGGGGGGGGGGGGGGGCATGCCCCCCTGAAACCCCCCGGATTCTGTTTAGATCAGGGGAGCAAATCAAGTCATATATCAAACATCAATAACCCAATAACTATTGATTTGTGGAAAAAATGAAGGCCATATTCGTGTCCAGCAAGCAAAATGCTACTAGAATTAAATATGTATAAATAAAACGTGTACATGAGGCGAGTGCATGGGTTACAATAAAACCGAAATAAATGATTTTTCAAAACAAATTTTATCACTTATGATCATTAATTACATTTTTTAAAAACCCGGTCCCTGGCAACCTGGGAGTAGCACAACAGTACACTTCATAATAAATAAGGTAGAAATAATGTAGACAAATTAATGTCTTTCTCAGTAAGGTATACTAACAACCTTACTTGCTTAAAAATGTAGGCCCTATACCATAAATGGATTAAATATGAAGGATGGATAAAACTTTAACAAATTAATTTTGATGGCACTTACTTATTAAACGTAGTATTTCAGCAAGGTTGGTATATCATACTGGCGCACACACATACGACCGAGGATGTCTATCTGATGGATCATATGCCTATATATGAAGCTTAGAAAATACGTCACATGTATGTACCACTAGTATCAATAAAAAGTGTCTTTAAAAGATATTTCAGAAAGTAGAATAATTAAATATAATAGTCTGTTAACAAGGTACATGTAGCATATTATGAGTCCCATGATTCAGACCAAACGGTTTTTGCAGGAAAGCACTGAATATTCCTTGTAAATTAGTTTGCTGCAGAGTCTGCAGTTTGACGATGTCTTGTGTGGTCTCTTTCGGCAGGGCGGAAAGAACCAGCTGGGTTTTTTTCCGTCTGCCCTCTGTGTAGACTCATCCACAGTATCCATCATTTTCTTTTTGAATAGAGAAAGGCATCTGTTGGTGACAGGACATGATGAGGAAATGAAGTACCGTTTTAGGCAGTTTCATGTTTTTACTTCGGGATCGTGCCACAGGGAAAAGCTGAGAGTTGAGGGTAAAGCACAGTTAGTGTAGAATTCTGTGGGGTAAAGCAATGGGCTCTCTCAAGCGGTACTTTAACCCTATCCGTACCGCCTGGTGTCATTTTGTACTCCCGGGGTTATATTCTTCACATTTTAGAATACTTCTAGTACGAATATCTCTTTGAAACGTTCAGTATTTAAAAAGAAAATTATAATTTTAACAGACTGCTGTGCAAAGCGTTCGGATCGGATTAACAAGTAAATTTCCTCTTTGGAAAGTGGTAACACAGAGTTCCCCACGTTGTATGAATACGATTGTAAAACACGACGTACGGATAGAGTTAAAGTAAATAAGAGCTCAACTAACAAACAGGAGTTGCGTGTATTACACCCAGTCGCCAGAAATAAGATGGGTCAATATTTTCCAAGATTAATACATACATGTGTGTTACACCCAGGTTGCCGGTTAAAGGGGTATAAATAGTTTGCCCGGGGGAAAGGGTTTAAAATATGCACACAAGATGTAGATACCCAGACTTCTTTTTTTAAAATATGTGGCGTCGGTATTCGAGTGGTGAGGCTACCGGAGGTTTCGGGTTCTGGGGTTCGAGCCCCAGGCCTGACGGTGTGTCCTTGGGAAAGACAAGCGAATTTTTCTCAGGTGTGAATGGGACTATAGCCTGGTACCCGTCTTAGGCAGTGCACGATCTTGTCAATTTTTTGTGTTTTGGGGCATATAAAATGGTAGCTTGCACGGTGTGCCTCCTATGAAATTGAGGTTGTTTCAGAATGCTTTCAGACCTGCAGAGATAATATTATAATAATTAAAGTAAAGCGAGTTGAGACCGCTGTTGAGCGGGAATTTGCTCTCTATATACCGATACCATACAATTAATGTTATCTATATATTACTGCAAGAAAATTAAAAAGCTTCCAAACAAATTGTCTTCCAAGAATTTTATTAATAAAATGGAATAAATTTATTACAAATTATGAAGTGTTGGAAAGAGCTGGAATTAAAGACGCAATAAAAAAGATAAAAAGATGGAGATATCTGGGACATGTTCTGAGAATGCCGAAGACGAGATTTCCCTTTCAGACATGATATTGGAAACTAATCGGAAAGAGAAAGCGGGGACGACCAAGTGGAAGCTTTAGAGGCACAATATATAAGAGATGGGGCAATCACCCACGGCCTAGATGTGCCCACATCGGAGAAAGTGGGCCAGGACAGATAAGTGTGGCGTCAACTGCTCTCCGCCGTATGTACCTGACGGTATAGGTAGAGGGAGAGAGTAAGTAAGTACCGGTAAGTAAGTAAGTAAGTAAGTAAGTAAGTAAGTAAGTAAGTAAGTAAGTAAGTAGGTAAGTAGGTAAGTAGGTAAGTAGGTAAGTAAGTAAGTTATATCAGGCCTTCAGGGGTCTTGGATTCATAACATTGTTGCTTAAGAACCTGTTTTAATCGTGTCACAGAATGATTTTTCGCTGTAGGCCTACTAAGCTTATAGGTTAAGGGAGAGCGGGGAGGTCTCGGACACGACGGGAGACTTCGAACTTGTCAATTCCAGCCAAACTATTGATAGTACACAACGACAATTATAATCATGCCAGAACCATGGCATATGAACAAAATCTACCCGAAAAGACTAGCTTCTTGGTTCTCGTTCGAAAGTGGCGCTCTTTCCATGGAACCTAAAGAATGTAACTTTGATGTCATTAAACTTGGGATAATTGGGGAGTGTGTCCATTTCGCTTCGAAAATGTTGTCAGAAGAAGACGAAGAGCGTGACTTTGAGAGTCTTCCCTAAGAACATATATTAACAAAAGCAGCTCTTTCATCTATCCACCTGTGGGAAATTCGGCTATAGTAAAATGAGACCAGTTATTCCTCCTCTGATTCGAGGCCCAACAAAGAGGTCAAAAAGCTCCTACATGTATAAGTTTGCAGTAAAAATGGCACCCGTTAATGCTTCTATTTTTTAAGGAATCTCACAGAAGTTGGTTAACCTCATCAAGACCATGTACGAAGGGATAAGTTGCAGGGTCATACATGATGGCCAGCTTACTGACAGCTTTTGGCATCAAGACCCATGTGAGACAGGGATGTTTACTTCATATATCACTTTTCCTCTTTATCTTACCAATCGACTGGCTAATGACGGAAATCATAAGAGAACCCAGAAACGGCATACAGTGGACCCCATGGATACAGTTGTATGATCTGGACTTTGCAGGTGAATTGGCGCTTCTGTCTATAATTGACAGAGAGGGAGAAACAGGCGCTGAAATATTAAAAGTCCCGCATTGGAAAGCTTAGACTGCATTTATAGCCCAATTTTAAATAAGATTTGGAGTACCAAGGGTATTTCACTGCGAACGAAGCTGAGGATTTTCAACTCATATGTGAAGTCAGTCTTGTTGTATGGATGTGAGACGTGGAACGCATCTCAGACGTGCATAAAGATGATCCAGGTTTTGTTTAACAAGTATCTGAGGAAGTTACTGAAGATCAGATGGACAGACAGGATCACCAACGAAGAAGTATTAAGAAGAACGAGACGGAGCCCAGTCAGAGATGAGGTGAGAAGAAGGCGTTGGCGATGGATTGGACACAATTTCAGGAGGTCAAGCAGCTACATAACAAGGAAAGTGTTAAATTAGAACCCACAGGGTAAAAGATCAACGGGAAGACCACGTGGAACCTAAAGAAGAGTCACGGAAATGGATGTACAGAAAAGTGGGAAGACATGGAGTGACATCAAGCGATTAGTTCAGGACAGGGGAAGGGGGAGAGTGTTTGTTCGTGGCCTGTATCCTGATCCAGGATGAGAAAAGCAACGATGATGATAAATATTTCTATTTGCATTGGAGTCTCCGGTACATTTGAATTCCATCTTCAAAAGCTCAAAGTGTAACACTTGAAGAAGCACTTTTCCCCAAAAAAATTCTTATTTAGGATACTGTTTCTTTTAAATCTGCAGACTTTGTTTCCATTAGCTATTTGATTTGGCTGGGGTACGCTTCCCGGAACACTATAACTGCCAGGTCAGTTGAAATGATGAATCTTCGATTTTACGTCCTTCGCCAGGTCGTGACGGGAGGCCATGAAAACTTTGAAAATCCTTCAAAACAGCCCATGTTCAAGAACACACATACCTGGATTCGAACCAGAGGGCATCGCTCAAAGAGAAACCGTGATTATAGCTTAGCAAATGAAGTACACCTCCAATACTGAAAGCAGAAGTACAAGCTGCCATTAGGAAAATGAAACAAGGAAAAGCCACAGGGCCAGATAATATTCCAGTTGAAGTGATTGTCGCGCTCAAAGAACTAGGCACTGAAATAACAACAAAGCTCCTAAATGCTATTTATGACAGCGGTGAGATCCCA